CCCTCCCCTCCTTTTTTTTTTTTTCTATTCCTTCGTCGTGTGTTTTATTTCCTTTACTCCCCTGTAAGATGGCTTGTGATCGCACGTACACATTGCATGGGCGCCTGGTTGTGTATGCGCGCACGATCTGCCCACACGCCGTCACGGCTGTGAATAAATAATCCCCCCACCCGCCGCCGGATGGTCCGCGCTCTCCTATATGCGCCCTGCTCTATTCAAATCAAGCACAGAACCCAAGATACACACACACACACACACACACACACATACACACACAACCGCTTACACGCATACACACAGTTTCACAAGCACATTCTCTTTCACTTTCTCTCTCTCTCTCTCTCCCTCGTTCCCTCTCCCTCAGTCTCTCTAGTCATTCTTCTTGGCGTGGCGTGCCTGCATGCGCCGTGTAATAAGCTTCAGCAGCTCGTCAATGAAGATAACAGGCAGACTGAAGACGAGCACAGCCTTCCAGTCCTCGAAGTTCGTCGGCACAAGAATGCTCCACGGCTGGGCGTGCTTCACCACCTGCGGGTCAACCCCCAGCGGAGCAATGTTAAACAGGGACGCAAGGAATGGAACGTACATGATCACAAGGTGCAGTGCAAGTGAAGAAAATATGGCGAGGAGCAGCCAGATATTGCTCGACGGCCGCGTTATGATGAGAGAGGCGTTCTCGCTCAGCGCGTTGAGGGCGTTCAGCATCTCCACCACGACGAGGATGGAAAGCGCAATCGCCCGCGCCGTCTCTGGGTCAGCGAGGATGGCGCAGGTGGGGTTCTGCATGTCCGTGCACGCCGCGTACGTGGTCAGGTCGCGCCATGTGAAGCCGTGGCTGAGGAACCACCAGATGAACCCGCCCACTGTGGCAAGCCCCACGTATGTGCCAACCACCATGTAGCGCAGGAACAACCAGCCATTCACAATGGGCTCGTCGAGGCGGCGCGGCTGCTGCTCCATAATATCAGGGTCTGGGGCGTTGAAACCGAGCGCCGTCGCAGGGAGGCCGTCCGTGACGAGATTCACCCACAGCAGCTGCACTGGCGAGAGCGCCTCCGGCAGCCCGAAGATACCCGTTACGAGGATGCACGCAACCTCGCCAATGTTGCTGCTAATGAGGTAGCGAATGAACTGCTTTGTGTTGTTGAAGATGGAGCGGCCCTCCCGCACTGCCTTCACAACAGTGGCAAAGTTGTCATCAGCCAGTACCATCTTGCTAGCCGCCTTGGCCACTTCTGTACCGCTTCCCATGGCAATGCCAATGTCTGCCTTCTTGAGAGCCGGGGCGTCATTCACGCCATCACCAGTCATGGCACAGATAAGTCGCTGCTCCTGCAGCAGCTTCACTAACTGCATCTTGTGCGAAGGATCAGTACGGCTAAAGAGCACTGCCCTCATCACAGCCTGCCGTTTCTCTGCAAGACTCATGGCGTCAAACTCTTGCCCAGTATAGCTCAAGCCTTCGGTTGCGTGGGTAGAGGGCATCAGCCCAAGTTTGCCGCAGATGGCCTCTGCCGTCTCCTTGCGGTCTCCAGTGATAACAACAACGCGGACGCCTGCAGTGTGGCACTTGGCGATGGCCTCCCGCACCTCCTCGCGTGGGGGATCGAGCATGCCACATGCCCCGACAAATGTGAGGTCAGACTCAATCTTATCAAAGCCCGCCGGATCGTTGAGTTTCAGCTCCTTCATGGGGCGTATCGGCTTGAAGGCGAATCCGATGCAACGCAGGGCCTCTTCGCTGGATGACATGGCGTCGAGCTTTGAGATGATGCGTGAGCGAAGCGCCGCGGTGAGGGGCACAACAACGCCGTCTTCCCGCATCACTTGCGTCGAGCGGCGCAGCACCTCCTCTGGCGCCCCCTTCACAAACAGACTGTGCAAGTCAGACACCGTCCCGGAGGTGGCGTGCACACTCATCGACTTGCGTTCCCGTGTGAACTCCAGGGTGGTGTTCTTTCTCCACTTCTGCTCCGCCAGTGTGCGGAACGCGCGAACCCGGGTACAGTCTGACGGTTGTGCGAGCTTCTCACTCATCACCAGCAACGCCGCCTCTGTTGACTCGCCAACCTTCTCCACACGGTTCTTCACTGCGTTGTACTCCAGCGATGCGTCATTGCAAAGAACAGCAATGTTCGCCAACATGCTGAGCGCGCCGTCCGACTCCAATGCGGACGTGGTGATCTTGCCACCGCACGTCACAGCATCTCGCTGAATATTGAACTTTGAATCCTTCAACGTGTACTCCTTCACCTCCCCATCGCTCCAGAGTGTGAACACTTCCAGGACAGACATCATGTTTGTAGTAAGCGTGCCTGTCTTGTCGGAGCAAATAACGGTGCAGCGACCAAGCGTCTCCACGCTGGGGAGATCCCGCACAAGTGCGTTGTGCCGTGCCATGCGCCGTGTGCCGAGTGCGAGGCACGTAGTGACGACAGCAGGAAGCCCCTCCGGAATCGCCGCTACAGCAAGGGCAACAGCAACCTTTAGACAATGCACCGTTGGCTGAATGTAGCGCTCATACCACGCCTCTTCAGGCGCAGGTGTGTGCGTGGCGAACCAGCGGAGCATGTTGATCGCAAACACCGCAAGACAAATGTAGCCAATCACCTTGGAGAGCAGCACACCAAACTCATCCAGCTTGATCTGCAGCGGCGTCTTGACCTCCTCCTGCTCCCGCACATCCCGCTCGATGGTGCCGATCTCGGTGGAGGTTCCGGTGCTCACAACGACGCAGAGTGCCCTGCCGTACACAATTGCCGTGCCGCTGTACACCATGCTAGCTGGGAACCGCTCGCTGCGTCCTTTCACTGCCTCCACCTGCTTGATCGCCTCGACAGACTCCCCGTTGAGAATCGCCTGGTCGACGCGCAGCGTTGTGCTGTGCACCTCCAGCACCCTCATGTCCGCCGCGACGCGGTTGCCTACCGCCACCTCCACCACGTCGCCTGGCACGAGCTCCTCTGCCTGCACCGTCATTGTCTTGCCGCCGCGCACCACAACCGCCGTTTTGGGCACAAAGGACTTGAGTGCCTCAATGGCGCCCTCCGCACGGTTCTCTTGCCAGACCCCAACCGTCGCATTCAGCACAAGGATAAGGAGAATGATAAACGGCTCCACGAAATCCGTGGCGTTCTTCTCAATGACCGCCATGACGAAACTCGTCATGGCTGCAAGGAGAAGGATGCGCACAAGGGTGTCCTCGAATTGGGCAAGAACCAACTTCCAGAAGGGCGTCGGCGGCTCTGCGGGGAGCTCATTGCTGCCAAACTGCTGACGGCGCTCCTCCACCTCTGCAGTAGAGAGGCCACGCTTCGGGTTAACCTGAAGCGCCTCCGCCACTGCTGTTGCATTCATCGAGGCGGCATCTGTCGGAAGGGAGACCAACACCATCGTTACCGTGTACGCCTCTCCCTGCCCCTGGCTCTTTACTTTTAGCGAACTTTGCCTTTCTGTTTGTAAATTACTAAAAATAGAAGGTTTGAAAAGCCCCAGTGAAGAAGCAGAAGAAAACGGGGATACAAACGACATGCTACAGTGATTCAGCCACACTTTTCAAGCAGCAACAACAAGAACAAAAGAAAAACTTCCAACCATCAGCAACGCCGCTGTCACCACCACCACCACCAGAACAACAACAACAAGACCATCAGTATCCAACACAATCAACAACAACGACTGGCATAGCATACTAGAAGAGTTTGATCTTTCTCGCCTTCCGCTGTTTGATGGGGCCTTTGCGCTGTACCGCAGCCCCGTCGCGTGCAGCACCTCCTGCAACCGACACTGCCACTTCCTCTGTGCCGTCCCACCCGTCTTCGGCGCGGTCCAGCAGTTCTGGCGGACCTGCCTCATACTTTCGGAAGAGATACTCGATGGAGTACTTCCACCGCTCTTCGTCGTACTTCTGTCGCTCCAACAATTTATCATAGTCGCGTGGTGTCTTGGGAATCTCCGCGTGAACGCGGTGATCCACCACAGGGAGCCCAAGCAAGGCGTAGGCCTCTGGCGTGGCATAAATGGCGTACCGCTGCGGCATCAGCTCCTCGCGCATAAAACGCCGCGCCACGTACACTGTCTCGTACTTCCGTCCAAACCAACAGTTCTTGTTCTCATCGTACAGGTTCACCAGGAAGATGACAGGAATGTGGATGGTTGGGATTTGCCGCGGCTCTCCAACCTCCAGGAGCGACCGGTTCCGAATCTGGCACGGATACGACCTGGGGAGGTAGCGTATGTCGTACTCCCCAGGGCGGTGTTCGCTCATCGGGTACCGCGTTGCATTCTCCCTCATACGCAGCTCATACGTTGAGAGAGCCATGCGCTTCCAGTACGGCGTGTGGGCGAGGCGGTCGCTGTAGCCCTGCGAGACGCCAAAGGGACCGCCGACTTCACCGGGCGGCGGAGGCGGCATCGTCACCTTCACGTCGTGGCGCGGCGGCGGAACCCACGGCGCAACACGTCGTACTACAGTTCGCCGCATCGCGCTGTCTGCTCTTTTTCTGCTTCTGCTTCTGCTGCTATCTCCTTCGCCTGCTTGTTTTTTTTTTTTTGCTACTTTTCTCGTGCGTGCGTACTGACGAGATGCTGGGATGGCGATACTCCGACTCTCAATCAACGCCGAGACACCTGCACGGCGGCCTTCGTCGAACGGCGCTCAAAAAGCGAAGGCGACAGGGGAGTCCAACGTGCGTGTGCACGTGTGTAATGTGTAGTGGGTGTGAGGAAGAGGGAGTGTGTTATAAATCGTGGTCTCTCCCAATCGCGTTCGCACTCGCTCGCTACTACCTGCAACCAGTGACTGTAGAGAGCAAAAATAAAGACACAGAAGGATAAAACAATAAATAATAGCAATGATGGTAGTCAAATGAAGCACGCCCCGTAACCGCCTGATGCGGCGTGTGGCAGCAGAAGGCAACGCGACAAAAGAACCAAAAAACAAAAGTTCAAGGCGATGCTGCATCACAACGTCAAATGTGTGTGTCCGAGCGGTATAGCAAGACTCGTCTCCATGTATCCCTCCTCGCACCAATCCTAGGAAATGAGAAGACAAGCCCATAGAGCACACAAATGACACCAAAACATCAACAACAACAACAACAACAACCAGCACAACGCGGACGACTATCGACACCTAAGAGAAACCAACGCAAACACAAAATAAGTCACGATCCTACGCACACGTATGCCTTTCCCTTCGGATACCTTCTCCGCAGACATACACGGGCACACACACACACAAAGACAGGCATACACACATACATGAATCTATATATATATATATATATCCGCGTATGCATGTATACACATCTATGCATGTGGGCGGGCATGCCTCCGTCTAACCGCTGAGTTGAATATGCAAAGTGTCATCAAATGCCTGCATAAGTTCTGGATGGCGCCACGTGGCGTACCACAGCAACAGCGACGAAACTGTCTCCGCCCACCACGCGCGCAGTAGTATACAGAATACACGCCACTGCGACTTTGGCCCACTTGCAACAAGCGCAGAGTACCGCAGCATGCGCAGTGGTCGATTGACGGGCTCACACAACTCTCTATTAATTGCCTTAGTTGCCATTATATTGCGCAGCACCAGCGCATACTCCTTTGGCAGACGCGATACGATATCGTTTACCTCCTGCATCTTGCTCCGCACTTGCTCACGCATCAATTCTTGTGTGGCCTTTGTCGTAACGCGTGACCCGACGCTATAGTACTCGTACGGATGCTGCAAGAAGCAAGATGCAAACAGTGCGTAGTCGTCACATCCAAACCGTTCCGCAATGCGCTTCAGTGTCGGCGTGTCGTGGGAGACTGCGGATGTCCAGATGGCGGCCAGCTCGACGCGCAGCTCGTCTGAGAGCTCCGTGCAGAGGCCAAAGTCCAGCAGAACCACCTGCGGCTGTCCGTTCGGAAGCCGGTGCACAAGAATGTTCCCCGCGTGCGGGTCGCCGTGCACGAATCCGGTGACAAACAGCTGGTACGACAGCGCGTCGTAGAGCCACGTGGCGACCGTCCGCGGGTCGATGCCAAGCGCCTCCATGCGACTGCGGTCCGACATCTTTGCCGCGTTCGCTACCAACCGCGTGGTCAACACGCGCCGCGTCGTGTAATCGCGCACCACCTCCGCCGTGATGACGCGGTCGCCGAAGCCACCGGCCTTTAAATCCCGAGACGCCCGCTCGCAGTTACTCGCCTCCAGCGTGAAGTCCAGCTCGTTCGCCACCGTGTTGTTCAGCTTCGCGACGATCTCCGAGAGGTCGTAGCCACGAAAGAAGAAGCCGGCGACGCCAAGCATCAACTGAATCGTCCGCATATCCCCTCGGAAGCGCTGCGCAACGTCAATGTACTGCACCTTCACCGCCACCTCCGTGCCGTCCTCCTTGAGGGTGCCGCGGTGCACCTGCGCAAGTGAGGCCGCAGCGAGTGGCCGCGGGTCGAGTGTCTCGAAGACGTCTCCAATAGGACGACCGAAGTCGCGCTCGAGCGTCGCCACCACCTCCGAGAAGGGACGCGTCATCACCGCGTCCTGCAGCGCCGCCATGGTGGTACAGTACTGCAACGGCAGAATGTGGCTCATGTTGGCGAATATCTGCCCTGCCTTGACGTACAGGCCGCCGTTCGTTTCGGCGAGCGTGACGAGGCGGGTGGCGCTGCGGAGGTGCACCTCATTCCACGCCTCCTGCGACTCGGCAGCGGCACTCCCGAGCAGGCTCCACTGGTAATCGACAAGGATGCAGCCACCAACGTAGGCGCAGCGGCAGACACGGCCAACACCCTCAAGCAGCACACGTGTGGGCAGCAGCGGCGCCGGCAGGGATTCGCGCGGCGGAAGCATCACAACAGCCGTCGCAGCAGCACTGCTGCACACCGCAACGCCAACGCAGCGGCCAACAAGGCGACGGTACAAGCGTGTCCCCATGCGGACAACCCCAATGATGAACTACTCCACACTGCAGGGGGGGAGAAGACAAAATAAGAAAGAGATCGAACAAAGAAAGACACATGACGGCATGGCGTTGATCGTGATCACATGTGCGGTCTTCATTTGGTACATGATGGCTTTTTTTGTTTAAAACAACANAAAAAATCGAAGATTACTTCCAACAAGAGAGCGAGCCTTCTGTGCCGATTTATGCGACCGTATTTTCTTTTTTGTTTTGGTTTAAACGCGGTCCCTGAAGCATACGTGTGTGTGTGTGTTGCGCCACTTGTCTGTCCACCAAGGCTGACTCAATCAATCTCCACCACGTCTTCATCGTCCTCATCGGAGGCGACCACCACCACAGCAGCAGCGGCGGACGCACCTTCACCCCCCTCGGCCGCCACTCGCACCGCTGAGGGAACAACATCATCGTCACCGTCCCTACCAGCATCACCAGCTGCTGCGGCCGCCTCCGCTACGAGTGTGCGTTCCAGCTGCAACGCCGCCTCAAGCCCCTCCAGCACATACGCATCGTCTTCCTGCTGTGAAGGAGAGTGCTCAATGACAACGCGCCACTCTACTTCGTGGTCGAGATCGTCCACGAGCAGCTCCAGCGGCTTGGTACCAGCAGTCATCAACTTCGCGAGCGGCATCGCCGTCATCGTCTCAAACTCGCCCTCCTCATACAGCACATTGGGGCCGCTGAAGACCGACGGCGCTGACATCGACAAGCGGTCACGCAGCACGTCAGCCACGAAGGAGCCGAGTGTTGTACGCGTAGCGTCGAGGTGGACACGAACAACCGGACGACAATCTCGACAAACCACACAGGAACTGTTCGGCGTATTGGGTGGCGCACTGTGCACCAAGAATAGGTCCGTTGTCCACCGTTGCCTTTCCCCACCGTTGTGCATGTTGCTGCAGTCGTCAGCAAAGAGAGGAGAGAGGCGGCGGCGGCGCACCTGCGGGGCCCGTCGCACGTAGACCATCTGCGGCTGCGGTGCACTGCGCGGCGCCACCCCTGCCCCAAGTACGCACAGCGCCTGCTGCACCACCGCAGCGGCAACAATGGCGTTCGTTGTCGCAATGGCCGGCACGATGGCGCCGGCAACGCTGCGTATCTCCTCCACTGACTGCGGCGGCTCAATGTGAAACACCGCCGCGCGGAGGTTCGACACCGCCGCCACAAAATCAACGGTGTCATCGTCCTCCTTCCGGAATCCGACACGCACGCCGCGCCGCGCACACCGTGTAAAGGAATCAAGGAAGAGAACAGCAGTCTCCTGAAGAGACATAGGGTTGTCCCGCGAAAACTCGGCAGATTTCCCACCCGCAGCAGTGGCCGTTGCGTGCTCCTCGGCACGCTCCATGACGCCCTCCGCCAGCGGCACCGGCGGCTGCGTTGCCCACACAGCCTTCATATCAAGCAACTCGCGTATCTTATCGTGGAAGAGACAGCGCGCCAACGTGGATGCCACGCCACATAGGCGACACACGCGGTCGTCACCACTGTGCTGTTCGTCGTCTTGTTGCTGCTGTTGCTGCATTGGGTCAAGAAACGCGTCAACAAACGCCAACTCATCATCGCCCCCACGCTGGCCGTCGCCAAAGAGCCGTTCGTACAGTTCCTTCGCGTAGTGCACGCAGTGGACCATCGTGGTCGGGCGTGCGTGAATTGTGCAGACCGCAACTGTCTTCTGGCTCGCCGCCTTCGGGTGACAATCATAGCACTCGTAGCGGCCGCGCACAATCGGCTGCACCTGACCGTTGTACCCCATCGTGCCGCTCTCAATGAGTGGCACACCAGCGCTCATGCACATGCGGTTTACGTGCTGCCGAGCCGCCACATTGTCGAGGGCATTCAGCACAACCGCGAACTGACGGTAAAAGGCATCATCATACGCGTCGTTTATGATGTTAGCGTGATGGGCGCGAATGCTGGGCAACCGACGCGACGTGGAGGAAGTGAACCAGCCGAGAATTGCCTTGCGCGCTGTCTCCGCCTTGGAGGCGCCGACATCCTCCTTCTGGAAGAGAAACTGCCGGTTGAGGTTTGTCGCGTCGATGGTGTCGAGGTCGAAGACGTCCACGTTACAGAAGCCATACAGCACGAGAACCTTGAGCAGCTCGCAGCCGATCCCGCCAGCGCCAACAACCAGCACCCGCTTCCCCAACAGCGCCTCCTCTGCATCGCCTGCTGTGGCCATGGCTACTGCATCCGCAACCCTCACCGGCCGATCTTCCCAGTATACTGGTAGCTGGTGTGCTGTCCTATCAACTGATGAGGCAAATGTCAATTCGGTAACGCGGGGCAAGCGAGCGGCTGCCTCAATTACTGAAGCCGTCATACCACTTGGCAACTCGATGGCACTGCTTGCAACCAGCCTCAGTGACGATGCAAGAGCTCCTGGGACGAAACAGAATGAGGCTCCTTTGCCCCCTTCATGCATATGCACCTCCACTGCTGGCATATCGCCATCCGCGTCACCCTCCACCTCGTGTTGTTGCTGTTTCTGCTGTCGCAGAGCATCACGCACTGCTGCAGTAAAGGCGGCTTCTGATATCTGCAGCAGCGCGTTCCCTGGAGTCTCCGCAACGGCGCTGGTCGACCGCCCCTCGTATTTCAAACGCTTGGCGTTGCTTGCTTCATCATCGCATGCTAATGACTTGCCGTGGGGAAACAAAACGTGCCCAATGGACACCTGCATCGTTACCATTCGCTGAGTACATAAATAAATAAAAATAAAGAGAAGGGTTAGCATGATAGAAGGTGCCCTACGCATCAGATACAAGCGTGTGAAGGGGTTAACCTCCACGTTATGCGAGGCACCAAGGCACACAGAATTCAAGCCGCTAACAATATTCACGATCGTGAGAATACCCACTCTTAATGCACAGCCACAACACATCGCGGTGCCATATTCAAGCGTATTCCGTTATGTCGGGGTAAATCAAAACAACCCTTCAGCAAATTTCGACTCTTGGAGGACTCTGCGGCGCCAGGCTCACGGCATCGCACAGCGCCAGGACCAGAAGCGTCTTGCTGGGACGTAGTATTGCCCCTGCCGCTCCTCGTACGTGTGCACCACCGGCAACGCTGGAGGAATGGCCACCCACATCAAATACAACCACCCTGACGGACCGGCTGAAGCGGCACAAGA